CCCGGCGCGAGCCCCGCCAACGGCCGCGGCGCCACCGAGGCGCTGCTGCCGGGGGCTCGCGCTCGCCCTGCGGCAACGTGGACTCGCAGGGGACGAGAAGGCTCCGCTCCCCGCCCGCGCGGCAGGCGGTGCACGCGGAGCCCCGGGCCGGCGCTCGGCGGGTGCAGGAGCCGCCCGCCCGCCCTGTCCTGGAGCGCGACACGACACGCGTTGCTGGCACGAGCCCCAGTGCCTGGTAGCCGGGGGCTGCAGAGCCTTGGGGCTAGGTGGTCCCTTCTGCTGCCTCTGCAGGAGCGCAGCGGTTAGCCCGTGGGGGAAGGGGAGGCTCTCCCCGCACACCAGGCATGCAAGGCACTTGGGACACTAGGATTTTGTTGCAAAAAGTCCTGACTTGTCACCAAAAACATGGAACTGCTGCTGCCTGTTTGGTGCAGCCTGCATAGTTTTCAGATGAGACTGAAGAAAAAAAAAAAGAGAGAGAGAGAAAAAAAATCTTTTACCATTCCCAAATCTCCGCATTCTTGTGCCCTACGCAAAACAACCATTGCTGACAYGTGCTGTAATCAAAGGGTGCCCTGCATAAGCAGTAAATGAGGACAGTAAACTTGTATAAAATCCAGCACATCTAGAAGTAGAATTACTCTACCGGTTCAGTACCGTCAGTCCATAAAGCTCATCTGTCGGCTCAGAGCTATCCCACTTCCCTGGGCACATGCCCAGGTTTCTAACTCCTCTTCACTCAGTGGCAATGTTGCATTGCCATCAGGAAAGCAGGCTCGGATGCCTGTACAGAAGCCTGGTATGCAGCAGAAGCCAGGCAATTACCATAGCTAGGAGTGGAAAGAAACCCAGGCCCATTCTCATGGTACAAGCTAGAGGTATTTTCTTTACCAGTGAGACACAAACAAGCACAGCCAAAATAATCTCTAAAACCGCCTCACAAAAAACCCAAAGCAGTACATTGCAGAGGTGATATTTGTGAAAAGTTTTTACTATGATCTGTCCAGATTAGACATATATGTCTAACCAAGTAATAAGCATTTTAACTACAACAAAAAGAGATAACAAATATCCGTGAAAACTGTTAGGACTTGTACTGTTAATACTTCAGTGATGAGACGCAGCAGGGAGTCATAAGATGGGTGTCATCTGGTCTAGTCTCAGCACAACAGAATTTTATAGCATAAAAGACTACTTACATTTTTACTTTCATAAAAGATTTTCTTACTCAAGATCTAGACATTAAATAAGACTAGCAACAGGCTTATATTCATAAAGCACCAGTAGGCTGAGCTTATTAATAAAACTATCAACACCTATACTTTTTTTTGTACAAATATTCAAAACATGCTTGAAGTTGTTACAAAAAGAATTAGGCTTACAGAGAAATCAATGTAATATAGCTCCTGCCAACAACTTACTGCTCTTGTGAATAGGATTTTCTTTTAAATAAATTAAAAAGATAACTCAGAGATTGCTGTAGTACTTTGTGTCATTACTTCCTAGCTGCCAACAGTTGGCACTCATTATTCTCTTCTACACTTTTTTTCCTCTTCYTTCTTTTTACTATCTAAGAGAAAAAAATAATCTGGCATTTTGAGCATACATAGCAGATGCCTTATGCAGTGGAATAAAATAGAAACAGAGTGAAAACCGAGTATTTTTCTCTTAACCAGCTGCAATAGTTTTCTCTGGACTAATGAAGTACTTGCTGTTGGTACCCAGCACCCACTTCTGAAAAAAATACATTTTTGCTAGATTTCATTTGGCCTTTTTTTCCCCATACTCTGCCATATGTACAGTGCAGTATCTGTCTGTGCGTGGGTGTTGGTTGTCATGCTGTCAGTCACTGTAGCAGCACATTTGAGGGGTTACARTGCGAGTTTCAGTGTCCACCTGACACTGCACGGGTACCCCTGGTCAGGGGCTTTCTGCCTTCACTTTGGAGGGCATGAACTGTGAACTGTTTCCAGTATGACCGGGGGGAAATTTGGGGTGAAGTCCTAGAAATGCTCCAATTTTAGCTATTGCATTTAGAATAGCTAGAATTGCACACTGCAAAATGACATCCACCTGAACACTGAACTTCCTTTTATCATTACCAGTCTTAGCAGCTCCTGGCAGAGCAGTGACTTCAGCTTATCTGAACAAGAGCTGCTGGCGGTCACTCCCCACTTTTCAGTTGTCCAATTGTTCAAACCCAGCATAATACAGCTTAATTTATCACTAGGGCTTCATAGCGCTAATGTAACACAGCTGCAATACAGCACTCTCATTTCAGGGTTTATATTCCTCCTGCAATACTGATTCAGCCTCTTGCTGTCTCCAGGAGGAGCATCAGCCCTGCCATTCCCAAGACTTTCCGAGCAGGTGTGGACAGGCTGTGTCCCCCTCCACCTGCTGAGCACGCATAGCTTCCAAGAGCCAGCTGGAGTCATTCCTAGATCCCAGCAGCTGCATTCCCTTTAATAGCCCACTTATAGCTGAGTCCCCAGGGGAGCAGAAGTACTTTTTTCCTATGTTTATTCTCAATGTATTGTCATGATAGCAGCTTCCTATTTTTTTTTTTTCAGCAAACAAGAAGTTCCTTGCATGTGATAGTAGCATAAGGGGATGGCTGTACAAAACAAAGCAAACAAAATAACCCCACAACAACAGACATTCATAACCAATTCCCCAGCCTTGGCTTCCACCAATCTCCTCTCCCATCCATCAGACAGCTTGAGTGCAAAGCAAAGAATAATCAAACAAATGATGACACAAAGCATTAGCTTTGAAAATGTATTATTTTGTAATGCAAAAGAGGGGAAAATATATATGCTTATTACTACTACTGTCAGTGAAGTTTCTTGAGTTTTACTGCATACACTATCAATCATATTTCTTTGTTAAGTGTGATCTTCCTGGGGATATACTTTTGGAAATTGAACAAGTAATGCTTAAAATAGAACACTGTTCTCATTATTTAATGTCCACCTATTGAGAGGTAGAAAGAAAGAAAAAAGAACAAGAAACTTTTCTTCAGTTCTTCCACATACTGCGATCCTCTGCCACCTTGCTGCCTAGCACATCATAAAAATCCAGGTCATCCCCAGCAGCACTGAATTAGCAGTGGGTTTGGGGATTTTGCGCAGGAAAGGCAGACCTTCACTGCTGCAGATTGCCTAAGTAAAATTCTGAACTGGCAACAGAGTTTTATTGACATCAACACCACRGAGTCCACAATTTTACAAGATACCAGAGAAATCAAAATTGATATACTCATCACCAGATTTGCATCTATAAAGTCAGTGGGAGTCTCGCTATTTGTCTTCAGCTGGGCCAAGATATTGGCCTGTGATTTCTACAGCTGAAAGATTAATGCATACAGTATTAAATTATTTTGGTAAGTTATCTAAACTCTACCATGTAGAATAAATACATACTTAGTAAAAAGCATTAACAAATTTAAGATTTATTATTTAAGCTTTTTCCTTACTGCTCTAAGATGGACCATACAGACATAAATAAAGTTACTGGACTGCTCTAGAAAACTTATTTGATTTGTGATGCTTAGCAAATTTTTGCAAATTTATAAAGCTCTAAGATCTGCCTGCACAAAGGATATTAGTCTTTTGAGCCTTTATGTATTTTATTATAGTTTAACTGAGTTAAATGCTATTACAGAGCTAATATATTTTTGTGCCTGTAAGATTTATTAGGAAAAAATATATTAAAAAGTATTTAGTACTGTATAAAATTGAGGCACAAGTGATATACCACATGGCATTAAAAGGCAAGTAGGTGCTTTATAATTCTTTTTTTTTTTTTCCATTATCCTGTTGGTCATTTAATCACATTATTTCATAAAAAAAAAAAAAAAAAAAAAAAAACATGCTTTGCCCCAGGGGATACTTGCATGCCTGACAGGGTAGGGTTTTGATTTAACAAAGCCTTGTTTTGCTTTTGTATAAAAACATTCGAGTCAGCAATGCAGTAATGGGACTTGGAGAAGCAGGTAGGAGGGACAGACAGCTGCATATTCGAAGAAGGGAAACTCAGAGGAAAAAGCCCTGCTATTTTGAGTGGAATGTGCAGACCCTACTGGAAGCTTCTACAGTGAAGTGCTTCAAGCCCCTTTATTTGATAAGCTCTTCCCTTTTTCTGGAAAACAGAGGAAAAGTAAAACAGGTTAGATTTTTAATAGTGCTTTTGGGCTCAAACTGCATGCTGAGCCAGGCATATGCCTGAATTTCTCTGCCAACTCGGAGTGGGCAAGAGACCCCTTAGGATAAACAGGCAGTGACTGCCCRTTAGAGCAGCAGCTGGGGCAGGCAAAACTGGTTGACTGAATTCTCAGATCTCCCGACCATTTCCTCCAGAAAACACCTGGCTGCYGATTCACACACAGGCCACTTCAGCACATGAAACCTTGCTCGGGGAGAGGGAGAAGTGTGTGTGGGGGAGCCTTTCTTGGCTAAAAACCCAGTCATGCTGTGATGGTGGTGACAGAAGTGGGATTATTTATGGCAAGCTGAAAAG